CTTAGTCCAATGCACGTGCACTATTATTATTATCCACACCGTTCGGTCGTGCAAGTGAAATGCAATAATGACGATATATGATGGACTGATTGAGATGAGAGAAGCTGGTATGAACTCGACCTATCTTGTTTTTGTAAATATGATTAGTTCATCGTTCCTGATTCAGCCTATTATGAATGAAACATGTTTACAATGAAAATTAGAGATTATAGTTGCTCATGCCATGCTTAATTAGCTAGGAGTTTATAATGGTTTACCTTGCGTGCCAACATGCTATTAAAATGGTTGTGATGTGGTATGATTGGGTGGTATCCTCCTTTGAACGATTCGAGTAGCTTGACTTGGCACATGTTCACGCATGTAGTTGAAACAAAATCAACATAGCCTCCACGATATTTATGTTCATGGTGAATTATATCCTACTCATGCTTGCACTCAATGTTGGTTAATTTTAATGCATGTTCATGACTGTTGCCGCTCTCTAGCTGGTCGCTTCCCAGTCTCTTTCTAGCCTTCACTTGTACTAAGCGAGAATACTGCTTGTGCATCCACTTCCATAAACCCCAAAAGTTATTCCATATGAGTCCACTATACCTTCCTATATGCGGTATCTACCTGCTGTTCCAAGTAAATTTGTATGTGCCAAACTCTAAGCCTTCAAATGAAATCCTGCTTTGTATGCTCGAATAGCTCATGTATCAACTAGGGTTGTCTATATCTTCCATGCTAGGCGGGTTATTCTCAAGAGGAGTGGACTCCGCTCCTCACTCACGAGAAAATGGCTGGTAACCGGGATGCCCAGTCCCATGCTCTAACCAAATCAAAATAATTGCAAACAAAACTCCACCAGGATTGTTGTTAGTTGGAGGCACCCGTTGTTTCGGACAAGCCATGGATTGATGTTTGTTGGTGGTAGGGGGAGTATAAACTTTACCATTCTGTTTGGGAACTGCCTATAATGTGTGTAGCATGGAAGATATCGAGATCTCTCGGTTGTTATGTTGACAATGAAAGTATACCACTTAAAATATTATTTATCTCTATTTCAAAATCGAGCTCTAGCACCTCTACAAATCCCTGCTTCCCTTTGAGAAGGGCCTATCTATTTACTTTTATGTTGAGTCATCATCCTCTTATTAAAAAGCACCGGTTGGAGAGCACCACTGTCATTTGCATGTATTGCTATTAGTTTACATTGAGTATGACTGTGACTGGATCTCTTTTACCATGAATTACAATGTTTAGTCAGTCCTTGATCTGCAGAGGTGCTCTGCATTTATGTTTTGCGGTCTCAGAAAGGGCTAGCGAGATACCATCTTGTTATATCATATTATAATTGTTTTGAGAAAGTGTTGTCATCCGAGATTTACTATTATTGATCGCTAGTTGATTATGCTATTTATATGAGTAAACATGAGACCTAAATGTTATTGTGAATATGGTTAGTTCATAATCTTCACTAAAAACTTGAATACTGGCTTTACATATTTACAACAACAAGATCAAACAGAGTTTGTAAAAGTTTTTCTTTATCACTTTCAGTTTGTCAACTGAATTTCTTGAGGACAAGCAAAGGTTTAAGCTTGGGGGAGTTGATACGTCACCATCGTATCTACTTTTCCAAAAACTTTTGACCTTGTTTTGGACTCTAACTTGCATGATTTGAATGGAACTAACCCGGACTGATGCTGTTTTCAGCAGAATTGCCATGGTGTTATTTTTATGCAGAAATAAAAGTTCTCGGAATGACCTGAAACTTCATAGAGAATATTTTTGGAATATATAAAAAATACTGGCAAAAGAATCTACGTCAGGGGGCCCACACCCTATCCACGAGGGTGGGGGCACGCGCACCCCCTTGGGGCGCGCCCCCTGCCTCGTGGGCCCCCTGATGCTCCACCGACCTCAACTCTAACTCTATATATTCACGTTCCGGGAGAAACAAAATCAAAGAGAAGTATTCAATGCGTTTTACGATACGGAGCTGCCGCCAAGCCCTAATCTCTTTTGGGAGGGCTGGTCTGGAGTCCGTTCGGGGCTCCGGAGAGGGGAATCCGTCGCCATCGTCATCATCAACCTTCCTCCATCACCAATTTCATGATGCTCACCGTCGTGCGTGAGTAATTCCATTGTAGGCTTGCTGGACGGTGATGGGTTGGATGAGATTTATCATGTAGTTGAGTTAGTTTTGTTAGGGTTTGATCCCTAGTATCCATTATGTTCTGAGATTGATGTTGCTATGACTTTGCTATGCTTAATGCTTGTCACTAGGGCCCGAGTGCCATGATTTCATATCTGAACCTAATATGTTTCCATGAATATATGTGAGTTCTTGATCCTATCTTGCAAGTCAATAGTCACCTATTATGTGTTATGATCCATTAACCCCGAAGTGACAATAATCGGGATACTTACCGGTGATGACCGTAGTTTGAGGAGTTCATGTATTCACTAAGTGTTAATGCTTTGGTCCGGTACTCTATTAAAAGGAGGCCTTAATATCCCTTAGTTTACAATAGAACCCCACTGCCATGGGAGGGTAGGACAAACGATGCCATACAAGTTCTTTTCCATAAGCACGTATGACTATATTCGGAATACATGCCTACATTACATTGATGAACTGGAGCTAGTTATGTGTCACCCTATGTTATAACTGTTGCATGGGGAATCGCATCCAACATAATTATCCATCAATGATCCAATGCCTACGAGCTTTTCACATATTAATCTTTGCTTAGTTACTTTTCCGTTGCCAGTGTTACAATCACTACAAAACCAATACTATTTTTTTTGCCACTGTTACCGTTACTTTCATATTACTTTGCTACTAAATACGTTGCTGCAGCTATTAAGTCTTTTAGGTGTGGTTGAATTGACAAGTCTACTGTTGATACTTGAGAATATTCTTTGCCTCCCCTTGTGTTGAATCAATAAATTTGGGTTGAATACTCTACCCTTGAAAACTGTTGCGATCCCCTATACTTGTGGGTTATCAGTCCTTTCTCCTCTCCAACTCCTCCTTTCCCCCTCTCTCTACGCGCTCTTGGCCGAGCTGTGCTCCAACCACTATCGGCGAGTTATGCCACTTCGGCCTCCTCTCTCGTTGTCCATCGTTGCCCCGCCCGACGATGTTTTTTTATACTTTTCGCAACAAGGGCCTTCTTGCAAACTTCCTTCAGCACAACATCATCTTTATTGCAGATATTTCTTGATTCACACCATAGATGACATCATCTTTTCAGTGAAAAATAATTCTACAACATTATTCATGTTACAAAAGCCTCCTACAACATCATCTATACTGCAAAAACTATGAAGAGGAAAAAAATGCAACACCACCTCTGTTGCAGAAGTCCTCCCGCAACATCGTCTATGTTGCAAAACAAAATTGAAAACAAAAATAAAAGTTTCGAGCGAAAATAATGCTTTGGTGGTTTGTAACAAAACAATTCTTGCAGAGCGAGCCGTGCAACAACTACCTTGTTGTAATTGATGACGAATCTTATTGGGGAGATCCGATGGCTATTTGTGGCTCAATCCAACGACGTAGGAGGCAGCGGATGTTTTCAATTAACCCACCGGCAAGAGCGTAGCGTAGATTCCCGTCACCCGATGGATTACAGGCACCGCGTCCACCGCTTCCAACGTTCAACGCGTGTCATGTGTGAAATGAACCGAGCATCATACTACGTTCTTGTCTGTATCTGTATCTACTATTCATGTCATCCTCCCAGCCGTGCTCCACGACCGCCACACGCCACAAGTGCTGCAGCAAGCCAGCCATCCTGCACACTACTGCAAGCTGCTTTCACGAGTCCGCCGCCGGTGATCGTCGGAGGACATCGCTGGCCGTCCTTTCTCCTCTCCTCTTCCTCTCCAAGTCCTCCTTTCCCTATCTCCTTACGCCTGCTCGCCCGAGCTGTGCTCCAACCACCATCGGTGAGATGTGCCACTTCAGCCTCCCCTCCCGATGCCCGTCGTCGCTCCAGTCGACGATGCTTTTTTATACTTTTCCGCAACAAGGGCCTTGTTGCAAAAGTCCTTCCGCGCAACATCATCTCTGTTGCGGAAATTTGTCGATTCACACCACAGATGACATCATCTTTTCGGTGAAAGAAATTCTGCAACATTATTCATGTTGCAAAAGTCCTCCCGCAACATCATCTATGTTGCAAAAACTATGAAGATGAAAAAAAAAACTGCAACACCATCTCTATTGCAAAAGGCCTCCCGCAACATCATCTATGTTTAAAAAAAATGAAGACAAAAAAAATTCAAGCGAAAATAACGCTTTGATGGTTGCAACAAAGCAACTGTTGCAGAGCAAGCTATGGAACATCTACCTTGTTGCAATTGATAACACATCTTTCAATTAATCCACCGGTGGACATGTAGCGTCGCCCTATTTTAATTGGCTAGTGGTAGATTGATTCCACAATAGGTGGTTTTTTTTTTTGAAATGACAATAGGTGGTTGGTATCAATGATGCTGGCAACAGCATTATCATATTCCCACTTTGTGTAATCAGCTGGTATAACTCTTGCTAGCTTGTCGCGTGCATCCATGCTATGCTGCACTCAATTGATTAAAAACTGTTTTCACCAATAGTTGTATCATCTGAAAGATAGTCTTTCACAGTCACACTACCACCAAATTCTGAAAAGCCATGTTATACAAAGCACGCAACTTACGTGTACCTCTACACACAAAAAAAATACCTTGTACTACTAGTTAGGACCATAATGCAACATGACTTGAAATTAGACTACTGGTGATGACAGCACACATGGAAATTGGCCTGGTGGACTTCAACGAATGCCCAAACTTGCATCAACGATCAACCACCCGCGTGAGCTTCAGATCAACCTTTTTCCCTTTTGACATGAGCTTCAGATCAGCTGGCGACACAGGGGAGGTCACAAGCATGACCATGCACCATCAACTGAGGGAGCAGAATTACCCCAAGTCTATATCTACATCTTAATTTTTCTGGCAAACTAATTAAGCCTCATATCTGCAGGTCCTGGGCCCAGGATCCCTTTCTGATCAGGGTCTATTGGAATCACCTCTGACTGTGGGCGCCTCAAATCATCCGCTGCCGCCTGCTGCCTCCAGAGCCGCTCCTGCTGTTTCAATCAGGGGTTAACTAACACTCACTACTGAAACAGTAAACAAAAATCTAGTGCTGTTTGGCAAGGAAGAGCAGACCTCTTCATCTGGGTCAGGTGTTACAACGGGTGGTATTGCATCTGGGTCAGGCTTCTGGAATACAAAAGTCGAATACAGGCCTGCACAAATCAGATTAAGCACTGAGCGAATTGGGATACTAGAATGAACCCAGTGCACGAAAAGGGTACACCACCTAAAATATCATAGGAACGAGCAATGAGCTTTCCACGAGGGTCAACCAAATTGGCACCACAACTACCAAGCATTGGAGCAAACTGTGTTCTGGAAGTCAGTCAGAACCAAAATAAACCATCAGATATGTCCACCATTCATTAGTATAGTAATCACACTACATTTCTTTCGAAAAGAGGAGGAAAAGTTAAGTAACTTATGCAAATAAATGTTACTATGAAGCACTATGTATTAAATGACTTCATGGAAATAACATAGGCGTCCAATAAGATACGGGCACCTGTTGTCATCATAAAACTCAGTTAAGTTCTGGATCTCCACATATTCAAGTCCAGCCTCCCTTGCTAATCTGCTCCAACATATTATAATGTTGTGAAAACATTGCGACCCAAGTTGTTGGTTTACATGAATGGAAGACTACAACAAATGTTGGAAATGAATGAGAAAATTGTAACCTCATAAGGCTGGGAAAGTGGACCAGGCAATGATTCTCAACCATCGCTTCATTTGCAAATTTGAGTTGGTACTTCTTTCCGAAGAAAGGAAACCTGCGCCATGTGGATGTAATGCATCAACCTCAAGATAGAAAACCTTTTGAACGTAAATTGATACAGAAGATGGGCTCATACTTTTCTTCCTCAATTTCGAAGGTAATTGTGTAGTTGTCAGAGCGGATGCTATTTGGAACAACCTTCAGACCCTTATTATGTGAAGCCTCAACATTCTTTTGATATTTAGTCCTACAAAATTAAAATGCCGTTAAACTCACAACGATTCAGAATAGTGGTGTTCAAACTAAACTTGAAATTGGAGAATATATATATTAAAGATTAGACCGTAACTAATCTTTAAATCGGAGAATATATGGTATGAGGGGCCATACCATATTGTGGATGAATCAGGAATTATGCCAAAGAAATAACCTCCAGGTTTGAGCAAGGATGATACGTTATTGAGAAGCTTCTTTGCGTGTTCCTCACTTTCAAAGCATAACTATCTTTCAACATGGACAAACTTTGAAGATTAGCAAAGCTTAACAGTATGCCATATTCCGGAGGCGGAGAAAACTCAACTTGCCTGTAAATTCTGCATGCAGCAAACTATATCTGCTTGGATGCCCTTTTCTTGCAACTGAGCTTCAAAGTCATCCTGTTATACAGACCACCATATATGTCATCACCTCTTAAGACTTCAATTTCGTGCAAGTAAGAAGGGGTGGGGAAAGGATATTACAGCAGAAGGATTCAACTCGATGAACTCAGTGGTGAAAGGTTTCCATTTGTTCTCCCACAGTTCACCGTCGTCGCTACTGACAGCTGACGCAGAAGCGTCTTATCACAGAAAGCAGTAAGTTCACTATAGGTACAAGATTCAGGTAGTCTGAACAAAGTAACCAAGTAGGGGCTCGGGTCATAGTGAGTCGGCCTACCAATTCCTATGTAGCGACCGGCTTGGGCATCGGCCCACTTTTCTGTATCAGCTCCGCCGTTGCAGTACATGTCGCAGACCTTCAACATTTCACAACAAGTAAAAGCAAGCCAGCATCAGGTTTCTGCTGGCTAGTTCTTGGCTAACCGGAACGAATTGGATATCGGGAAAGAGAGGAGCGTAGAACGGACCGTGGCATAAGGAAATGCAAATATCTTGATAAGTGCAGCCTTGGCGAATTCATAGAGCAGGTGATGTGGTGCCGCCGCCATGCACTGCCTCTGCTGCAGCTGCGGATAAACACGCAGACGATGGTAGGGAATTCAGGGGCGGATCTGGACGGCGTGCCGGCGCACGCTGAAAATTTCTCGAGGTTCAGCGGGGTTTAACAAATCATGGATGAAGAAAGTGCTCATACCTTAGAAACCAATCACGAAAACTGCGGACGAGGTCGAGGCAGCAGGGACGCGATGGGGTTGGGCGGAAACGGCGGTGCCGGCGATGCGGAGAGGTAGCGCACCGAGCGCCGACGGTACCGCGCCGGTATGGGACGGCGTCGAAGAAGCCGTGTAGAGGGGCTTTGGGTGTTATCGTACCCGCGCCTAGGGGACGTGCCCGGGCTCTCCGGCGGCGCGTACAGAAGCTCCGGCGGCGGACAAGAACGGCGAGGGGCTGCTGAAGACGACGCTCTCGATATGATTCTCAACTGGGCCAACCAACGAGTCACGGACTAGAGTCCATCTGGGCCGCAGCAGGCCGGAGCGAATTGTTGAGCCGCGGGACAGAGCCCGCTTTGCCCCACGCAGCTTGCTAGCCTCGCGTGCCACTTTTGAGAAGTTGGGATAGATCAGCGTAAGCTTCATTTATCCATTTATAAATGTCTCAAAAAATATCCATTTATAAAACCACTCACAAAAAAATTATACATTTTAAAAAATGTCTCAAAAACCCATTTTTAAAAATATTTGTGCAACAGAATGTGGGAGATGGTAAAGTGTGGGATGGAGAAACTTTTACCAGGGAAGGAAATGCTCATCAAGGGAGCTGCACATGTCATCCTAGTGTACTCAGTGGCTTGCTTCGTATTGCCGAGAGGTTTATGTGACAGTGTTACTTAATCATTCGACAATTCTTGTGGGGTAGCAAGACGGGGAAAAGGAATTCGTGCTAGGTCTTGTAGGATGTGATGACTAGGCCAAAATATTTAGGCGGTCTTGGATTTCAAGACCTTGAGATTTTTTATCTTTCTTTGTTGGCAAGGCAGGACTTGGCGTCTAATACATGACCTAGCATCCCTAAGTGCAAGAATTCTCAAAGCAGTGTATTACCCGGAGAGGTCTCTTTTGGAAGCCGGGTTAGGTTTTCATTCATCGCATATTTGGCGTGCAATTCTTGTTGCTCAAGGTATTATCAGGAGGATTCGTACAAAAGAAACTGCTAACATATGGGCG